ACGTATGTGTATTGTACTTTTAGTCGGTCGCAGTACAATAGTCGAACTTATATTTCGAAGAAAGAGCTTTCCCTGCTTGGTGCTGCACCAAACAGACAAAACTTTGAAGGCAGTAATTTTCTCAAGTGGGCGTCTATTGCACCCACCGAGTACTGTGTTACCTACGGGCTGCTGATTTCTGCCTTCGGACTGCCCGAGCTAGACCTACTAAAATCCTCAGGGCAGTCACTTTTCACAAAAACGTATTGGATTTCAATCCACACCAATAAATTACGCTCTTTTTAGTTTAGACTTAGTGTAGCGAATATCCGAGTTCGGACCTGTTTTGTTTTGGTCTGGTTTTTACTGAAGGCAAGTTACCAGTGCAGTCACTGATTCCTAGCCTGTCTGCTAACAACCTAATACCTCTCACTGTAGTCTTTCTTCTGTTTACCTAAGTCCTTTAATAAAAAAAATACCCCTCCGGATTGGTAAAAATAGGACCCTTCCGGATTGGCAAAATTTAGACCCCTCCGGATTGGGACCCCTCTGAGTTAGCAAACGTAAGACCCCTCCGGATTGGGACCCCTCTGAGTTAGCAAATATAAGACCCCTCCGGATTCGGACCCCTCCGGATTCGGACCCCTCCGAAATTTGAAACATTTTTTTGACACCTCCGGATTGGGAGCCCTCTGGTTTTGTAAAAGTAGCTTTTCGGAGATTTCCTTCTTTCAACCTATACCCCTCCGGGTACGTTCTTGGATGCGATTTTGCTTTTTCAGTTAACTAGGAAGGGTATGTAATGCTTTCCTAGACCTTTCCGGATTGAAGTTAAGCCTCTTATTTGACAATTCACGCTAACGGTGAAGGGTCTTATCGCTAGCCCAAGTTCGGCTCGATTAAGGTTTTCTTGTGCCTTTAGCCTTCCTTTTTTGTCTAGAACAGCCTAAAGTTACTCTATTCAACCGATGTTACCTTTTGGTAGGGGTGTGAGGGCTTTTCTAAAAAAAATTTATAAAACGTGAATTTGCTAAAAACAATCTCAAAAAACTTTCACGCTATTTTTTTCGAAAAACTCTTGTAGCTATCAGTAAGCTCCGCTAATTTCTGATCTATTGATACCAAGATCAACTCGATATGCCCAGTAGTTTCAAAGTTATTAACCAAAACGTTTTTTTTTCTAAAGTCAAAAAATTTGTCTCTTATAGGTTCCGCCTAACTTTTTCCGCAATTTTGTACTTTTCGACCTAAAAATTATTGATCCGAGCTCAGAAGGCCTATACTCTTCTAATTCAATGCAAAAGACCCGATCTAAAACGCTTTAGTTGAAAAAATTTGCCAAAAACTATGCTACCTGTACCCCTCCGGATTGCTGAGTCCACCAAATCAAACACGTTAAGTCCGATTTCTCTGCAACCCGGAAAGCTTTCGGGTAGCGGGTTTTAAAACTCGTAGATTCACTAGTGGACGTTGTCCGAACAACTATTTTTACTGTTCTAACTCAAAAATTTCAAAAAATTTTCTGATTTTATAGTGTTTTGTACTATCAAAAATCACGAAAATTCGGTTTTCGGTACCAAAATAGTTCCAACCACTTCCGAACTAAATTTAACCGGTTCTATCTATTATAGTAGTGCAGTTACGATGTAACACACTAATTTAGCGCTTTTTTTTGTTTCAAAAAATTATCGATATCTCAAAAATCGCGATTTGTGGGGGGATCAAAATATCGCTATTTTGACCCTAAAAACCGGTCTGCTTTCTGTGTTTTTCACTGAGAAACGATATAGGAGTATTAATATAGGCTATATAAGTAATAATATTAGTAATACTATGCCCCTCCGGGTTTGTTCAATATCCGAAATAAGGTGCTTAACTCGGATATTCGCAGTTCGGTGAAGGGTCACTACAGTGCAGCACTGTCGAGCCCCCCACAGATTACTATCTTAATTTTTGTACCAAAAGGCATACAAAACTTGTTAACGATACCCAACAGTCGATTGTTGTTGTCGTTGGCCCCTTTCTTGTTGCTCCTTGTACTGCTTGCCCGATCAGTCTTCTCCCAAGACCCCTCCGGATTGAGCGCAAATCAGCTGACCCTTTCGGATTGAGCGCAATATATCATTAAAGTGCTTAAATGCTCAAATAACCCTACAGTACAAGCCTCACAAACGGGCTACAAAATTGATCGTAACGATCCTGACTGATATAAATGCCTGTAACAACAATATATCTATCAACAACAAACGGGAGGGTCGGATCACATCTTGTCTGGGGGGATGATTTCTACTGATTTTTACTTTTTTTTTTACTGTTTTTGGTTTTTTCGGTTATGTTTTTTGTTTTTCTTGGGTACTATACTACTTTTTGTTTGGTTTTATATCTATCTTTAAGTGTTTTTGGTCACGGACCATTCAGGAGATGACGGGACCGCGAATCCCCCCACCCTTCCTGGTTCGTGAATTTTCGGTCTTAACTAGGTTAAAAAGCTATTCACGGTAATCCGGAAGGCTTCCGCGTTCCGAACTACCCTTCCGCCCCAGCGGTTTTGGCCTATTAAGGGCGTTAATGTGAGCATCCGCTCGGCGCGGAGTGCTCGTCAACGGTTCTGCCGGTCATGATGTTAAAAAAGAATAACACCCAGGAGCGCCATAAAAACATCTATGTAACATTCGCCCGGAAGATACATATCGACGGAAAAAAAACTAAGTCTTAAGACGACTGGCTAACGTCTAAACAAAGCTTTACATGATTTTAACAGTCTCTACCAAGCCAGTACTTTCGGTGGTCTTTCTAACATCGGGTCGACAAAAACGTTACTGCTTTCGGCTTCGGTCAAAATACTCAAATTAACTTAATTACATGCAGATATAGTGAGCTCATGGCTGGGTCTCAGTATCCCCAGACCACGAGGTCACTCCTAAAAACAGGGCTACTACTACTTATTGAATTATTATTGTTTTTGTTCAGTAGATAAAAATCATCATCTCCATCTAAGATGGATCAACCCTTTCCCCCAACTCCTAGCTTCTCATCTTAGTAGAATGAATTCAAATGTTAATTAAATTCAAATCAGGACATGACAGGGAAGCTAAAAGTTTATATCAGTTCATAAAAGTTTCAGTCCCGAGACCCCTCCGGATTCTTGAATCCGGGGAAATAAGGCTCTTATCTTCCTTCCGGAAGGCTGGTTTTCCACCCTTCACCGTTGTTCGCAACGGCCTTGCAACAATTGTAGCGACACAATAGTTGCAACTCGGAGCGGTCTCTGCTACTTCTGCTTTTCTCCGATTCTGATTCTCAATTTTCTCGTTGTTGTCGTCGTCGCAGCTATCGTTGTTGTGTTTTTCTTCGACCTTTTTCCAAAATGGCCGTTTCTGACGTTTCTCAGAAATATGACGTCATAATTCGAATTTTTAAAATTTCAAAAAACCAGAATATTTTAGCCCTCACCGTTTGGCCAATCGTTCTAATAACGCTCTTATTCCTTCAAAATCACCAATTCGGAAGGTTCACTGCTAAAATTTCGAATATGCTGAATCTGCATTTTGATCCATTCTGATCGAATGTCACACAACTTAGCAGTTGCACGGACACTCGTTGTGATACCCGCGTCGAATTACAGCGTTCAACTTTGAAAAATTTATTATTTAACTGTGGTTGACGCAATATTTTCAATCATACTGCAATATAGTATATTTTTACGCGTCGCTGTTTATAGTAACCATGAATCTTTGTTTACGCAGTAAATACATGCTGAATCCGGCATTATTAAATCCGGTATATGTACTGGTAATCATCTGTACCAAAGACGCTATATGCCGACCCTGAATCTTTTTTAGATAATTTAGATGGCTCCAAAAACGAGGCAGCTTGAATTGGTTAATACTGTCACCGAAGAGTTGACTTGTTCGATTTGTTTATTGATGCTGCTCGATCCTTACAAGATAGAGCCATGTGGTCACACGTTTTGCAATGAATGTATAAGTGAATGGCTCTGCAGCAATCTACATTGTCCGTTATGTAGAATTTCTCCGACCAGGTTCCGATCGAACAGCGATGTAGTTAAGCGTATTGCAGCAGTAGTACCTAAATTGAACGTCGATGTAAAACAAAAGGTTGGCGTAATAAGAAAACAGAATACAAGTTTCTGTTTTTTGAAAGATAAAATGACGCTGCGAAAATTGAAAACTTTATTGGATTTTCAAGTGATTCAAAAGGCGCGGCTTCGCGAAAACACGGAAAACATGGATGTATCTGTTATGTCGCAAATAGAGTATGAGCTTTATGTTCAAGAAAGATACAGTTTGCGACAAAGACGGGCGGTAACCTTGCCCCCATGTCATGTTTGCCGACGTTGTGATCGTCCTTGGATTGATCTCTAGTCATACGAATCTTAGTATTGAGCGCTGTTGCGCTGCAATTTTTTTTTAAATTACTTGGTGCTCCTCGTTTTGCTTTTTACTGTGATTATTTGGCTGGTCCAGTTTTTGCATGTTTCAGTGTCAATGAACGCAGTGAAGACACTTAAATTCGCCGTCTTAATTTTTAGGGAAATTTTTTAGTTGTTTGCGCTCACATTGAAATTTATTGGCGATTTGTCTTCTGATTCGATTTTAAATTCATTTCAAACTCATTTGCAAAAGAATGCAAATTCTGCTCTACAATTACGATAGTTCAAGTGGCGCAAGAAAACGTGAATGACTTTTGATCTCAAAAACAGTCTTCAATTTTCAGAATTCACAGCGGAACGAAAAATATAAGTCATCCAGTTTTCTTAAATTTACCAAAAAAATTTCGATATCAAAAAATTCATGAATTTGAGTTCATTGACACTTTTCCAACTGCCTGATGGCTATTCTATCGGTAAATTCTTTTAGGACTCGCTATTTGTTTAATCAGTCTACAATTTGACCGATTTGATAGCTTAGATGTAGATTATTTTAATTTGAATTTTTATCAGTTAGTTAAGTTCTCAATGAGCTTGAAAACAAACCAAAATTGACTTTGAAATTAAATCGAAGCAAAACTCCATTTTCCATTTAAGAGAAAATGGATCAGTCACTCGACCAGTTTATTAAAGACCGCAAGATTAAATACCCAGGACGCGGAGGTCGTGGGCGCGGACGAGTCGCAGTCAGAGGAAACCCCAGAGGTGGGTCTACTAGTCGAGGCCGCGGAGGTAACTACTATAACAGCCGTGGAAGAGGATCCATGATTCCTAGAAGAAACTTCCAAATTCAAGGTAGTCGGGGGTTTAGAAAGAATCAGTTTGGGTATGCTCCTAGAGGCCGGGGAATGCAGATGAATCAACGACGTTACTACACTCCAAATTTTAGACAGCAAGGTCCTCCAAGACAGAATTCAAGGGGTGGATTCTTTAATAGGAACGCCCAGTTCAACAGACCTAGTCCGTTCGCTATGCAAAGAGGTGGCGGCGTAATGAAGAGGGGTCAACAAAGTAGTGGGTTTGTAGGAAACAGAATACCAACCAAGCTTTACATCTCTAACCTAGATTTCGGCGTTTCGAACCAAGATATCAAAGATTTATTCAGCGAGTTCGGAAAAATGAGACGATTTGGAGTAAATTTCGCACAAGGAGGCAAAAGCTTAGGAACTGCTGAAGTACACTTTGAAAACAGAGGAAGCGCTGTTAGGGCTATTCAAAAGTACAACAACGTGACATTGGATGGGAGACCAATGAAATTAGCAATTTCCGAACCATCTGAGCCGAATGTTGTTCAGAGAGTACCGATAGCCAACAGAATTCCCCCGGTCAACCAACCACGAGCCATTGGTAGAGGAATTACTAAGAAGCTGGTAGATAGAAGCAAGCAGTACATGATGAATAGAGGGCGTGGTGGTCAACGAGGAAGAGGTCAAATGATGCAGACTTTTAGAGGTCGCGGAGGGATGCGAAGAGGTCAGCGGGGGTCGATGCGTGGAAGAGGTCGAGGGGGTGGGAGAGGGGGAAATAAACAGACAGCTCCGACTCAAGAACAGTTAGACGCCGACCTAGCTGCTTTCACAGCAAAGAGCGAGTGAAGCAGCACTAAATGAATTTAAAAAATCCAACGTTCAACAAGAACTAAATCGAAAATATGAACATTTCGCGTTTATTGTCGAATTTGATGATAATGCAACAAATTTTCAAGTTTATTAAATTGTGTTCATTGATTTTTTGTTGTTTTTATTTTGGGATATCAAGTAAGTCATCTTTTAGAAATGCGCCAAGATGAAAAACTGACCTTGTGGTAATAAGATTAACCAGCAGTTTATTATTCGTTCATCTTATTTCTTTTTTCTACTTCTGTTCTTTTTATTGCTGTTTTTATATTGTATACACCATTGTTCGTGTTTTGTTTGAATTTTCTAACCCGATTGTAGTCTGATGGACCCTGGAAAAATTAACATGTTTGCAGCATTTTTATTTAACGACGAAAAGCGAGAAACGAAGTGGATATTCTCATGATGGACAGACTGAATAATGGAACCCTTTTTAAATAAATCAAAATCTTAGAGAGCCGCAACAAAATTGTATTCGCTGAACGCGTTGTGCAGAAAATTAGTCATTAGTCAGTCTTTCATCCTTCACAAGGGATTCCATCGAGCAACAACACGATTTCATCATTCTTATGGTGATACTTTTTAGCAACTACAACCTATGAAAAAATACGCAATTAAATTGTGTAGTGTTGCGTTTAAAAGGATACTTAGTGATTAGATATTTTACCTGCTTGATGACCCGGGATGACTAGATAAGCTAGTCATACAATTCTCATATATACGTTTCATATATATATTAAAATTTGCCCGAAAGCTTTCTCATGAGCATTTTCCCATTGTCGGAATTGTATGACTAGCATGTTTCCATCCATAAACTTTCAAATCTCTATTCTTCCATGAACTTTTTAATTCTGTTCATGTTTGCGTCTGTTTCCTATAACAAAAGTCCGGAAAATTTGATACCCATTGGTCAGAATAACATTTAAAATCTCAGAGAAATGCTGCCCTACAAGGTTATATCTCTGAAAAAATTTTTGAGAAAATTGCTTGATGTTTTACGATCAGGTGCATGTAAAGTCAGCTAGTTTTGTTGCCGTTAATACTTTGTACTTCTCAACGAACCGAAGTGTCTGGTACCAATCAAATTTTTTAAAAAAATTTATAGTTCCGCTGAAAACATGAAAGCAAACTTTGATATATTTTTTGAGCACTTGGCCTCTATTATGGGCAAAAAAATGAATTTTGCGTGGACAATTTTTGTTTGATGTTTTCTTTGTAGAGGACTAATTTAAGACTGAAAAAATTTAACCCTTTGAGGCATGTACAAAATTTTAACTTCATACAAAGTGTCTAGATTTCCCGAAAAATGCTATTCGTACGAATGCCATCTATACATTACGTAATTGGCGCTTCACTTTACACACGTTCAAGAAGTCCCTATGTTGGCTTGTTAAATAAAATGCCGATATTTTACAACTTAATTTTTTTAATTCAAAAACTCTGGCGTTTTCAAAGCTCTGGCGTTGGGTGCTATCAGGGTATACCCAGGAGTTGCAAATCTGTCCTCCAAAGCTTACTGCTCAAATCCTCATGGTTTCCGAGACACTTAGTTTCTCAGCCCTATTCTGTGGTATACACAGGAGTTTCAATTATGGCCTCAAAGTATAACAACTCAAATTCTTTCGCTTTTCGAGATTTGGCGTTTTATGATTTTTGTTCAATTTTTTTTAAACGTTGATTTGAAAAACACTCAAAAAACTTGAATTTCTTAACACTATGGTGGGTTGCTATCAGGGTACACTCTGGAGTTGCACTTCTGGCTTTCAGATAAAACTGTTTAAATTCTTTTGGTTTCCGAGATATGGCGTTTTTTTTTCAAAAAACTTAGGTTTTTTTAACACTAACAAAACTTTAAACTCTCAATCCTACGGTGGGGTTCTTTCAGGATGCACTCAAGGTCTGCAAACTGGCTTCCAAATATGACTGATCAAAATCTTTTCAAAGCCGAGATAAAAGGCGTATTTAAAGATTTTTTAAAAAAATTTCAAGAAATAGGTTTTAAAAAAATAAAATGTTTCAACCATGTGTTGTGATGCTGTCAGAGAACTCCGCAGGGCTTGCACTTTGGCTGCTAAACTAGCGTCTTAATTTAAGAATCGGAGATATGTCAATTCAAGTTAATTTTTCAAAAGTTTTCTGTAAACTAAAGAGTTTTTTCAAGAAAAAAATCTGATTGATGTTAGAAATTTCGAAATTTTGAAAGAAAAATATGAAAAATGCTGTAGTATGTCGGTTTTCAAGATCCTTTTCGAGTTGAAGGTTTCAGAAATGGGTTAGAAAATCAGGAGTTTTGGAGATCTGACCATTTGGGCTTGAAAAATAGTTTAAAAATTGGCTTTATAAATCGTTCAGTTATTGAAATTGAAAACCCTGGTGGATGGGCCCGATTTACGTTTGCCTTAAAGATCTTTGTTTTTTGTAGGTAAATATTTTAGTAAGATCATGCGAGTCATGCGCTAGTATATGGTAATTGTACGGTTAGAAGTTTTTGTTATTTGGCGGTCAACTTGGCGAGCTAATGCTTTTACTGGCTGGAACCTTCCATGGTGCAAAAAATTATCTGGGGCTCATAAAGGTAAACAAAATCCTGTGTTTTTTGTTATCGTTATGGTCAAATTATTGGCAATATTTTTTTAATCAAAAATTTAACAAATATCGATATTTAACGAATATCATCGAATTAAGCAAAACAAATTTCTTTTTCATTTCATGGCGTAGAAAAACCGTTCCAAAAACTATTTGGAGGCACCTTTTCAATTGATGCGACCAAAATGTGGCTTCATGGAGCGCTGTAGAATGTTGAAGTATACAACTTTAATCGAAAAAAGCATTTTTAAAGTTTGATTAAAATTTTTAAGTGTCTTTAAATCGGAAACTAGACTTTCCGGTAAACGACTTTTCTTACAAATCGTACTTGCTTTTCTTACTTGCTTTTTTATTGAAACTTCAGAACTTCCAGTTTCATTCTTGCCTGGCCTTGAAGTACGCTAAGGTCAGGGGTTCGAGTTTCTGCCGGACTTAGTTTTTTTTAAGTATGTATGCAAATTTGATTTTTTTTTCGGTAAAAACTGAATTGTCCGACCTTCTTTTGTCTGCTGACAGTTTTTTCGGGCTTAGTTGCCATATCACGGATTTTGCTTATGCTCTAAGCAACTTTGATTAAAAGTTTTGTTCATTGTAGTTACTGGGGAATTTGAAAGTTTTTGTTTGGCATTTTGATTTTATTTTATTTTTTTCGGCTCAATTCGTGTCTGCTCAAAGATTGTCGGCTTAGTTTCCAAGCTGGCCCTGGAACTCTAAGGTCATTTTATGCAATAGCCGATAACTTATGAAAATTCAACTGGATTTCATTTTTTAGTGTGTCGTAGTTCTGTTAATTTTGATATTGTTCGGACCATATCATTTGGCGTTTGGTGGTAATTTTTCAGACGATTTTCAATTTATTGAAAAAAAGTTCTGCTATATCCCCTTGAAGCCTTTCGATCGTAATTTGGGTTCTATAAATATCAAGAGAAATTGTCAATGTGGTCTCAAAGTGATGTTTGGTGTTCAGGATAAATAAGACAGTTAGAAAAGAAATTGATTTCCAATTAGCACGTGTTATCAACTGAGATGTTATCAACGTGTGACTATGAACTAAGAATTTTTGTAGCGCTTGTTATCACAAATTCTATCGCGCTGTTCAGTTGCTCTTTCCATGATAAAAAACAAAAAAAAACAGAAAAACAGGCGTCTGCTGGAAGTTAAGGGCATCAAAAGTGTTTCGAGCATATTTGCGTTATAAATATCACGACTATTTGAAATGTGTCTGTTATCTTGGATATTAAATATCTTACTCTTAATATAGTTTCACTTTTATGACGACCGGATGATTGCCAAGCATGCTTCAGCCTGCAATGACGTAGGTGTCACTTTCATTCCTCTATCCGGTGAAGCTCTCGGCGGCTGGTCCCCGTTAGCCACCTAGAATATCTGCCGTTTCACTTCTATGGCTGCTACGTACCTTTTACAGCAGCTGCCCGTCGTTTCGCAACGTTACTGCTGGCCAGGTATTGGCGTTAACGGTCCAACTCCTCACTGCCCACTCACTTTTTTTTCACCTGATTTTTGTTAAATTGTTAATGGACTTAAAAACTTGGAGTGTCATTTTGTTTGCACTCAGCGCGCCGCTGTACTCAGCTTTTAGTACACCGGTCGTCTACTCAAGTTTTGTCAATTTATCTTTACTAACCAAGTATTTTTCTATTGCTAGATTTAATCACAAGGGTCCTTCTCCATATGTTTCTTTGATAATCAATTTTATTCGAAACAAATTTTGAAGAAAGTTGGCGCGCGCGTTCATGAAGTTTTTGGTTAGTTTTGTTAATTTTGGTTTCCGATTTGTTTTCTCGACAATGACTTCCGCAACATCTTTTTGTAGCTTTGTCAAAATACTACAAAAATTGCACCAGTCTGATCGGCTGTATTTGATCTTACTTTCTGCAAAAAACTGAAACTGAAATGTTTTTTTTTTGATAATTTCATCCTGGTCAGCGTTGGTTCTTGTAATCATATCTCTTGGACAAACTGGTAAGTGATATTTTATGCTATCTATTTTCTATTTGAATCCTGCTGAAATTATTTTGTGTACGTTCGATTATAAGTAGGGTTGTGAAGATCGAATTCGGTAGCTTTATATTGTTTGTTAACTAAAGATCTGTCCTAAAACACTGGTTTTTATCGATGAAGGTGATAAATTATCAATTTGGTTAAAATTGATGTTAAGCTATCAAAAAAACTAAGGTCAAAAGCTATCAACAAAGTAGATCGCGTGACTTTAATTAACTGCAGCACGGATCGGAGAACTTAGAGAATATTTAACTCGCTGACATACAAAATACTGATAATACTGATGTTAAGCATGCTATTCAGAATATTGACATTTTTCCATTTTTTTGACTGCATATTTTCGAAATTTTGTATTTGTCACGAGGTTTTTTTTTGGCAGCACAAACAGCGCAAAAGTTTATCAACAATTGCCTGCTGATTAAATTAAGTTCGGAACTGTCTAGAGAATGTTTTTGATTGCTGTACATCAAAACTTTGGCTGTGTTTTAATCTCTTTTGCATCAAAGATAACCTAGATAATTCTGAACGGCCTGTCAAACAAAAATCTTAATTCGACCAATTTTCTTCTTTTGATTATTACTCGAGGAGAAGACTTTCAAAAAAGTAACGAAAATTTTTGTGCTCAGTTTTTTTTCTGTTGCTCCATTTTGATTTAACTACTTTAATGGAAACATTTTTTTTGCGGTTATGATTTTTTGATAATCATTATGAGTGACATCTGAAAGTTTCTGATGTCCTCAGCTCCAAATG